TGCTCTCAGAGCCGAACCAAGCACGACCCAGGCTTCCTTCTAGGGAAGGGTCTTTGCAGCGGCTCCGCTACTTCCTTGTCACACAGCTCCCCGTGCACAACCAGCCCTTCTTCCATCCTCACAGCGAGCCGACAGCCCCGTTAGCCAAGCAATGGCACCGCTCCGACGCCTCCCGCTGCGGGGCGAGGGCGGGGAAGGGGAAGGAAGCAGGGGAAGGATGAGGCCCCGCCGCCGCCTTTTCGAGCCCCGTCACACGCGGGGGCCTCGCTCTCCGCCGGGGGCTGCGGGGGATTCCCCTCAGCGAGATGGCGGCCGGGGGACGGGCTGGGGCCCCGCCGAGGTGCCTCAGCCCCGGGGCCCCGCCACGGGCGCCGAGGGACGGGGCCGGGCCTCGGCGCCCCCTGGCGGGCGGCTCTGCGGCCCGGCGCTGAGGGAGCCGCGGGCGGCCCGAGGCAGCGCCGCCGGGTCCCGGCCCCGCGGAGCCCCCGGAGGCATCGCCGCGCCTCGAGGCCTCGGGCGGGGGCAGGAACGGGGCCGGGCCCCGCTCATGGCCCCCGCCAGCCCGCGGCCGCCTTGTTCCGCCCCGAGGAGCCGGTGGCGGCAGTGCCGCGGGAACGTCCCACCGCCATTTTAAGCACCTGCCACTTCCCAACCCAAATGGATGCAGGAAGCAGCGCGGCGCGGCCTTGGTGCGCGGCCCAAGTGCGGGGTGGTGCCCTGACAAGAGGTCTCACGTCAGGCCTTGTCTCTGGCACAGGTCCCGGCGCTGAGGCTCTCCCCTAACAGCTTTCAAAGGACTAAAAACCCTCGTGCAATCAGAACAAGCAAAAAGCAGGGAAAATCTTTCCAGTGCAGTTCACTGCCCCAGCCCCTTGACTGGGATTCGTTTTGTCTCTCTGCGGTCAGGGCTAAGCTGTTGAACACGGCCGTCCCTGCAGTGTGCATTTTGAGTGTCAGCAGCCCCCAGTGGGGTTCCGAGTGACTCACTGGCATATGTCGGCCCCACCGCCTGCCAGATCATTAGACCATGAATACCTTTTTATTTATTAGTAAAGTTTCCACAGAATAAAGAAGGGACACTGAGAAACAAACAGCATCAATAGCCCCAGCCCCTCTCCCCCTCTTCAGAGGCCGAACTATTTGTCTGAAGTGGGATGCACCGTTTTATCACTTAGAGATTGCAACTTCGATTGTGAAGTCAGGTCTGATGGCTAGCTGAATAATTTGTCTCTCGGCTCCAAGAGAAATGATGGAAGTCAATTTGACAGCTGTGAGGCTCCCCAAGGATTCCAGACCCAAAGTGCACAGAGCAGCGACAGACATGGCAGCGCTCTGAATATCAATGAAGCTCTGCCTGGGAATAATGCTGAGGCAATACAAATTGCACATGTTCAGCTGGAAGGTTATCACTATCATTATAGTTATTAATTATTGTTATTATTACTTCTATTATTAAGACATAAAGAAGCCAAAAGCTCCTCTTGGTCTCATAGAAAAGAGATGAGTTCCCAGCTCTGACCTACACACTGCCCTCAATTTTGTGCAACCACATCAATGTACATGGAGCTACAGAGGGTTAAGAATATCCAGCACCACAAAAGCTATAAAGCTTTCTGCTACTTAGAAAAGGAAGAGGACTTGGACTGAGATCAGGGAAGAAATGGACTCATTTTGGACCTAACTTGCTTGTGTCTTGTACCAAGTGCTGCAAGTAAAAACTCGATCATTTTCTCACAGCAATGGTAGCTGGCCTGTGGATCTATAAGCAATTAGACAAGGTGCAAGGCAAGGAAGATGAGAACCAAAATGCAAGAAAAAAAGTATAGGCAGTTCTTCTGGTGTGCATTCAGACCAACAGCACAAATCTGTTGAGCTGGTAACTGCAGAATACAGAGCAGAATTCGGCCCTAAATATCTATCAGGCCACAGTTTGTTAGCTTAGAATAGTAATATGCCAGTCCTTTTACTTGGCTTTTTGGATGGGTGTCAATAAAACTGAATACCTTTTTTTTTTTTTTTTTGCCACTTGCAAATACAGGTGACTTCACGTGAAAGCCAGTGTAGATCCTTTGCTTATTCCAACTTCTTAGGCTTTCCTTGGAAGTCTTGGGCAGTTAGCCCAAATGTCATTAAATTTGAAGTCAAATGCAGAAAAATAAAATTATATATTATATATATATAAGCTTTAGTTTAATACTCAAAACTATGTATTTATTTTTTTGCCATAGAAAATAATAGAGGTCATTTAAAGCAATATACTAGAACGTGCTTATGTAGCAAATTTATCCCTGAAAAAAAAATAGATTTACAAGGGAAACTAAACTCAGTGGCAACACCATCAATTCAGTGAAAAGAAGCACAATTGTTTGACTAATACTATGGTAACTGTACAGATATAACATGCAATCCTGCTTTATTAAATGAAACCTCTAGTGAATCTGTTATCACCATAGTAACACTGTAGTTACGACATGGAAACATGCTGAAGTACAGTTTGATATTAACATCTGGTTAGCATCTGCACAGTTTCTTATTCACATTACTAAAATTATAATCCAAGCAGAGCAAAACTTAAGTAAAACTACAGCTTGAAGGCCAAATTCTAGTCTCAGGTGCATTATATTTAATGTGCAGGTCCATGATATGTACCCAATATCTGGATTTACAATTAGGGTCTTGGTATGGTATTAAAAGGCTAGTTTGTGCATCTCCTAGGATGTAAGTGCACACACACTGTATTGTTGGTAATAATATCCAGGCAAAAAAATTGCAAAACCATATGATAATTGCAACTGACCTTCTCACAAATGTTCTCCACAGCAACCCTGGTTTGCAGACACTGCTTCAAACATTTCAAAGCTCTGAGCAGTTTCAAACACAGCTTGTTTTATTCTTATTTATTTTAAACCACCTGCCACAACATTTTTTCTGTCTTCTTCCTCCCACATAAAGTGTGGCACTTTATTCACAAAACGGCACTGGCCTGAATACAAAGTTAGGAATTTTGCAGTCTGTGGAAAGTGATAGGTTTAAGGCTCAAAATCTACGCACATTCAAGATGAGAAGTAGCTGAGTAGAGAAAGAGATATTCCTGGATTAAAAATAAAAATAATAATAGAAAACCAGAAAAAAAAAATGTTTTTCTTTGGGGTCAGTAATAAACTGTGATACACAGGGTGCCTTAAATCACAGTAGTGCTATATTAAGAGTTTCTCCCCCCCTCAATTTTTAAAAAATGCAGTTACATTTCCTTTGCTACCAAGGCTCATACACTTTGACTCCCAGTAATCAAGTCCTAGATGCATAGATAGAAGAGGAAAACTAGTAAACGTTCTTCCAGTTATTAAAACAATCTCTTTTTTTGCAGGATGTAGCACACATATCTAGGATGGAAAGAAGTGTTGCACACAATTGTATTCAAAATATGCTCATCCTTGCCTGAGGAAAGCTTGCGCTTGGCATAACACAGCATAGCAAAGATGGAGGAACACTACATTTTTAAGAGAAGTCTGAGAAATAATTGTTTCGGTTTGCAATCTGCCTTTAACCAAATGAATAAAGTACCAGAAGTCAGTGGAAATAATCATAAGTGAAGCCTGTAATACTGCGTGAATCATATAAATAACACGGAAAATTGTTGTATAATTTTCACCCAAGAGTTAGATTGCATAGCTGCATTCTCCATATGTCTTCCTTCTCATTCTCATAACTGAATATTATACCATATGATATGGCAGTCCAACACAGAAACAAGAATGACAGAATATAATATAATTTCTAGTAACAATTTGCTGCCTTAAAAACCACCATATAAACTAGGTATCTATTTCACTTGCATGGTTTAACAAACACCCTCCACTTAGCTGATTCACGTTTAGCTTCTATCATTGCTAACAACCTATCTGCTATTCCTGCATGATCTCTGTCATCTAACATAAACTGTTTGCCAAGTAGGAACGCATTTAAACAAGTCTTTTAACGCTTTGGTGATGACAAGCCTCTGAGATTTCATCAGTTACTTGTTGAATATTGGTAGGGTTCTTGGTTTCAATTGCAATGAACAGCATATACAAAAGCAGTGCAGTTTGGAAAATTTCATGGGAGAATCAGGAAAACTAAATGCTATTTCTCATTCTCAACTGCTGTGACCTTATGGAAGCCCTCTTCTTTCATAACAGGCCATGTCCCTATGTCTCCGTACCCCCATTTGAGAAGTGGGGTTAAAGATGCCTTATTTGAAACACCTAACTGAAGGCACATCTCTGCAGATTTATGCATAAACAGTTAGTTTTACTACTTGCAGCTGTAAGATGCAGTCCCAAAAGCAACACAATGAATGTTCTAGAACTTATTCTAGCCTCAACTACAATGTGAAGTTGCTAAACACCCAACAGAACTCCTTCAAAGGAAAAATGCTCAGGGAGGTTTAGCTAGGTTAGGTCACAAATCAGAGATAGAAAGACCACCACGGCTCCCTGTTTAGGCTCTTATCACCAAACATGAAAATGACTTTTTACAATAAAAAACATTATTGATTTTTTTTTTTTTTTTGCCTCTGGTCTAACTTTATTATTGTTATTTGTGTCTAGAACCGTGTGTGGCTTGGTGGAGCTTATGGACAACAAAAAGACAGAACAACCCATGAAATACAGAGCCATGAAACTTTCTGATCCTGCCAGAGAGTGTCTGCTTACCTGACGCAACACACAACATGCTCGCGTAGCCTAAACCAAATACTATGCTTATAGCAGCTACCAGAGCTCAAAGAGGTCTTCTGGATTCATACATGAGAATTCTAGAGACCACCTGCAAGGTCACTTCGTCTGATTTCCCTCATAACTGAGGTCAGGCAGCCCCACTCGGTACTGACTGCTGCCCAAGCGGTTATTCTTCCCAGCTGTGCAAGCGAGAATGAGCAAGCATCAGTGCAACCTGTGTGGGGGGAACAGTGAGCACAGGTGAGGCCATGGTGGCACTATTTTGGGAAGAGATGAACACTGCTTGCATTTTACATACAAGTAGTTTCCACGGGCTACAATAAAAAGCTCTATTTTGGCTTAAACTATTTCCACACATTGAAATCCAGTGCGGAAGGCCCCGCAATAATGAGGTGCAAGCACAGAGAGCAACAGCTATTACAAGTCTAAAGCTGATCACTTTTGTTAATAAGGAGGGCTAGTACATAATTAGGAAGATAGCACAACTGACACCATCACGTAAAGGTAGACAAACAGAACAAAAACCAGTTGGGAATGGGATTAAACCTTGCAGCTTCTCTTCTGCTTTTAGTCACACATAAGGTTTATAGATACTTTTTCTCCTTAAAATGCCTGAAGTATAGTTCTGCAGCTCTCTCCTGCCTCGCACATAGAACAACAGGCTAGAGCTAGTTAGAGACGCGATCCTTCTCTTCCTTTGATAAGGATGAAGAACAGCTTTGATAAACACAGAGAGTTACACCAGTAAAAAGCCAACATAAGGAAAGGGTCAGGCAGTGACGAGCTCTCAGGCAGCTCAAGGGTTGTCCCAGCTTGGCTGACCAAGTGCACGCAGCTTCTGGAGGAGGAGGCCTTGCTGCAGGCTTGCCATGAGGGTACGAGGTGAGGTCAGTAAGCTGCTGCGATTGATCCTCTCTGGCTTACTTCATGATAAAAGCCCAGTACTACACATTCATGAAGTCTTCAGCAGAGATCACACACATCACTACTCCAAAATTACTTCCTGGGTGCTTTTTCTTATTTTAAACAGGAAGAGAAGCCCCCCAGGGAGCAGTCACACCTCTGAAAGTCAAAAGAAGATTCCTCATACATACCCTGCTCAAGCAAAAAGCAAAGACTGCCCCAGGACTGATCTTTTGCTATTTTTCTTCTCTGCTCTTTGGTGTTCCCTTCCCACCTTTCAGGAGAAACTGTTGCTTCCAAATGGCAACTTCATAAGCACCTATGAGAGAACTTAATTGGAACTAATTAGATGTTGGTTGTCTGGGACCTGCGGAGTCACAGCAATTACTCAGTCAAGAAACAACTTGGGGGAGGGCAGTGCTTCTTTGCAGGAAAATGAACTAAGCTGCTCCCTAAAGGAAACTTTTTACAGAGATGGAACCTTTCAAAGCATGGAGCAGAGCTCACAGTGATCTAAATTAAAGATTATTTTTAAAGAATGTCAGGGAAAATATTTCCATCAACAGTTCTATCTCAATAAGCTATTTAAGTGTTTGAAAATATTTTCAAATGTAGTTTTTGCTGCTTGATTCTGCGCTATTTAAAAATTAACTTCCACCCACGTAGCTTTCCAGGGAGCTTGCAGGATTATGACCCTGCAGTAGTTCCTTGGCTTTACGTTCAGTGCAGCCCGGCTGCGCTGGGATGTGATGTGCTGGGGTCGGGCAGGCCAAGGGGACCTGTATGTATACGCTTTTAGTAGCAACTTTGCTGATTTTGCTGTTTTGTCCTTTACTAAGAGAAAAGTGTGGCAGTAGGATGCTTTCCTTTGAACAATTCCTGCAGACTAACAGGTATGAATGCTGCATGTACCAGAACCACTGTTCATCAAGCTCACTTCTCAGCTCCTGCTTCTGTTTCATGAAATCTACACCTGAAGTATTAAAAAACTACAACACTCCATAGATCTGTATCTACCATCTTCTATTATATTCCTTTTACTCTCTAACAGTGTACAAGAGCCTGTTCCAGCCAGCTTTACTGAAGTAAAGATTCTGTCGTCAGCAAGAGAATGTGTGGTAAAAGTTTTGTCATGAGTTGCAGTAATGTGGCTGCAAGTAGGAAATTCTGATTTAAGCCTGATGGGACTGAAAAATATGCCCCTCCCTAAAGCAGAGAACTATATAGCTCTGTAAAATAACATACCTCCAAGGATGGTTAAAAATCAGGGGTTTCTGAGCAGTATTAGTATGAAATCTTGACTGTTTCTTTCTTCTGAAAATAATGGAATGTGCAGTTTGAGGCATTCTCAGCAACATATTATCCCCATGAGAAGCAGATGAATATTTAAATTGCATCGCAGCTGAAGATGTTTGTAAGAAGGTGAGAAATTCCAACAGAACTTCAGAATATTTTACCTTTTGTTAGTTTCAAAGAGCAGGTATCTGAGCTATTTTCATTCAGGGCCCATTGTCAGACTAATCTGCTTCCACTGGAAGCGATCCCATACCAGGCATTTGTGGAATAGTCTGCCTACAGAGGAGTATCTTCCTAAGTAATTTTTAGTAATTGCTCATCATTAATAATCACGTGTCTTATGTCCTGGGTTATGATTGCTTTCCATTATTTTTAAAGCTTTTATCCCTTTGAATGTTCTTGTTACCTAATTAAGGGCACAGCCCTCTATTCTGAATGCTACAGAGGTCTGTGCTTCTTTTGGGTGATGGGAAGGCAAGGAGATTAAAAACAGAAATGTGTAGCAGCAGGGGGACAGATTTTCCAGGTCCAAGACCAATTTTCAAGGTTTCTTACAACCATATAGTAAATATTACTTTCTGGCATAGTCAACAAGACTGTAACTGAAGACGCTGGTTCCCTGCACAAGCCTACAGTGCTTGTACTTTGATCTTGTCCTAGATACTGGTAACATGCACACCACAGTGCCTAAGGTAAACAGCTGAGAAGTATGAACTGATCCTGTAAGATGCTGAGTTAATAAGGTCAAAGAGCCCATGGAGATTCACTTAGCTAATGGGAGCTGAAGACTTTGACTTTGTAGGTAGCTCTGAGAATCTTGCTGAATAAGACCGGAATGCTTGAAATCACAAAGCATGCCCCTGTTTCATGGCAGACTGCAACAGTAAAATTGTTTGAAGCTTTATCATGACTTCCGTCTGCCGGGTAATCTCCATTACACTTAACAAAATCCACATTGAGAGCAAAGAACAATGGTGGTGAGGAGAAAAAGCCAATTTTAACAGCTTATATACGACTTACCATAAAATCCCTGGTTCTCCTTCCTGCATAATTTACACAAATGCCTCAAAGATGATAAATTAGGGAAAAGAGAATCTAAGATGATTTGCATAGAATGGAAATAGAATTAAAAAAAAAAAAAAAAAAAAAAAAAAAAGTAGAACTATATAGAATACACTGTATTCTACTCCAAGGAAATTCACAGACCTGTTTCTATAATCTTGGGAAGGAAGCCAGGGAAGACTGGAAATACACAGAAGGCTTTAAACAATTGATCTTACTGGGAGGTTACACTGGTACCTTTTATCCTCCTGGTATCCAGATGTTTCAGAAAATGCCCAGAAGTGAAACACTTGTAGGTTTCTAGGAGATAAAGTGGAGAATCATTCTCTTCTTCCCTTCCAGACTGCTGTCAAGCCATCTATCTAGCTTCCAGTACGTGCATGTAAGTGCTCTGTAGTACTGCAGACAGCCTGCCTCGGGCTTTTGATCTGAGATCTTACAAAAGCCATGCAAGAGTTGATGGAGTTAGCAGTTGAAAAGGAGCATCCTGAGGAAGAAACTACATCACAGCAATTGCTGCAAAGATGTCGTGGGTGGCAGTCCCGAAACAGAGCAGTCTTGTATCAAGGAACATGGGGCTGCTGGACATCGCTGTGTTTCTCACAGAAGAGTTACGGGAAGGATTTTGTCAATCTGTGCTTGTAATAGTTTGAGCTCAAAGACGTCAGAAATGGCTGCACTTAATGATAGCTTTACAGACGTAACTTGGTGCTCCAGGTACACACACAGCAGTCAGTTCAACGCTACTGCTCCAGCACTGACCTCAGAAACTGCCTGCAGCGGTCCAAGTTCAAGAGGCAGACCCCAGTGTGTCAGGCATTACAAAGCACCCCAAGATACTATTTCAACTACAACTGCTAAGAGGTTAGCGTTACTCTAAGCTGGTGTGCCTTCCTAAGGCAGCTTTAAACGAGAAATCCTCTGGCAGTCCCCACCCCCTCCCAGCAACCCGAAACATAAAAACTGGAGCATGCCACTTTAAAACTAGCCTATTTAGGCCACAGATGCTAAATGAATTCAGCAGACAGACGGAGTAATGGAATGTCAGTGTTCCAGTCTGCTGCCTTGAAGCAATAGGTTTCTTTTTATTATTAATTTCTCCTCTCATTTTCCAATGCTGCCTCTGGGCTCCATGCTTTAGATGCAGTATTCTTGTCAGTCTCGCTAACCCAATTTGGAAATAATTAAATTTTAAAATATTAAAGGGATTATAAATACTTCCCACCCCACTTCCCCCGCCCCACTCCCTTTTATACTGTCCCTATAAAACTGCTGAATTTTGCTTCAGGACTTAAAATGTGTTACTGCAGAATCTGATTTGTTGCTGCAGTTTCCTTTGCAAAGGCTGTAGAATATCTGAAGGGGAGAAAAAAAAAAAAAAAAAAAGGAGTTAATTCCAGTAAAAGTAAAAGGTGCCCAGAAGTCTTATGAGATGAAGAGCTCTGCCATCCTGACACCTTGGAACCTGATCTTACTCCTGTTGAAATTAATGCTAAGACTGTCAACCTTGTCCTTACTGTGGCAGCTTGCTGTCCACCAGGACCCCAGGCTCTCCTCCGCAAAGCACTTTTCCAGCCACTCAGCCCACGGCACCCTCAGCACGTACGGGTGCCTGCGGTTATTCTTCCCCAGGTGCAGGAAGAATTTGCATTTCCTTTAGTTGAGCCTGATGAGGTGCTTCCCTGACCAGCTCTCCAGCGTGTGTGGGTACCTCTGAGCAGGCACAGCCGCCACATCCATCCTCCTCGTCGGCATCTGCAGGCTGCTGTGGGCACACTCTGCCCCATCATCCCACCTATCGACAGAGATGTTACACAGCCCCAGCCCCGGGCACACCGCTGCTGACCTGGCTCCAAAAGAGCCTTGTGCCTCTGATCACAGCCCCCTGGGCCCAGCCATTCAGCCTCAGTCCTCCTCCGTTTATCTTAACTGGATTATTTTTACCATTATGCTCTCTAGTACGTAAAGAAAGTAACTGAATCTTGGCACTGTCCCTATATATAGTATCCTGCTCTTGAATACTATCATCATCATCAGGGCCCTTTGCTGGTTTAATTTTAGGCCTCACAGTCCCAGATATCCTCACAGATACAAATGTACACTTTGCATTTCACTGCTGTGAAGAGCGAGGCAGAAAAGCGATGTAACTTGCCAAAGATCAAACAGCAAAATGAGAGGCAGAGCTGTGAACAGATCCGAGGAGCCCTGTCACACAAACCCTAGAAAACACGCTGTCACTCTGATGTACGGCTGCTTCAGCTGCCCCCAAACTACAAATACCTGCTGGAGAACTTTGCCTCATGCTGGTCCACCAATACAAAAACTGATGGGTACCCTTCTTGTAGACTTTATGGTTTAAATAACAAACTTTTAATTTAACCAGGTGTAGCGAACTTTGGCATTCACTGTGAATTTCTTCATCAGCCTCAGAAAAGAGGAGAACTCATTATCCCCTGTTTAAAACCTGAGAAAACCAAAGCCAAAATTGTCAACCTGGCTTAGCATCCACACCAAAAGTCAGAATCCAAACCTCTCTGGTTTCTTCCTAAAATCTGTCAGAACCATCCAGATTTTCAAAACTTCAACATCACGCATCTCCCATTGAGGACAACAGCTTATATCCCCTCTCTATACTCCACTTCTTGAGAACAACACAATTTCTCTGTTCCCCTTGTGCTAACTGAGAAATGCTGAAGCTTCTGGATGCTGACTGTCTGGACACTTACACAGGCTCATAGATTTTTGAGGCTGGAAAGAACAGTATCTCCTGCAACAGTATCTCCAGACATTTGCATCAGGTAATTTGTTTCTTTTTTTTTTTTTTTTTTTTTCATGTCCCACAAATTGCTTTCAAAGGTATATACTGACAAGTCCTGAAATGGAAGCTCAATTATTCTGATAGTGTGTCTGCAGCTCGAAGTACTGGGATCTTTTACAACACAGCTCTCCAGGTTTCGAAAGGCAAAGTCACTTTGTGCCTCTCACAACAGATATAGGTTTCCTAACCCTCAGGCTTGTCCTTTTGTGGGTCCAACATGCTGCTATTATTTTAAAGCTACATCTGGAGTAAAGCCTACAAAAGGAAAGATGAGACCATTACCAGCTTGTCTGTGCCATCTTTGTCCCACATTTCCATCTTGAAAGCAGTCTGTTTAGCTTCAGATCTTTCTGGGTCACCAGCGGTTTGTTTCAACAACTGTACTCCAGACCTCACTACGACTCAACCAGTCATTTTTGTTTATGGCTTCTGTTTCCTGTATATTCTTCTCACTGATTGCATTTCCCAGTTCTCACCACAACTCAGATGGAAAATAAAAAGTGGGAGAAACAAGGGGAATCCAGTGTGTTACACATTTCGTGTGTAACACATAAGTTGAGGTTAACCAGAGCATGAGAATGGCTCTCTGGGAAGTCAGACTTCCTTCTGCCTGGAGAGGAGTCACTGGGACCCAAACTACCCTAAGTTTGTCTAATGATTTATATGAAAAAAGCCTGACACAGCTGGGAAAAAACCACACAAAACAGCCAAGGTCACTGGGCTACTCCAAAGACTCTACGGATATATTAAAGAGGGCAAATTTGCGATTTTTCATATCCAGAAAATGAAGTTACAGAACATGGAAGGAGTTTCATATTGAACAGCTTAGGGACCTGGGTGCTTCAGACAAGACACCAGTGAAGATGACATTGAGAACTGATACATACAAAGATGTGCACACGATCAATTAATTTAAACATTAGTTACAATGGATTACAGCTTGTGCTTTATACTGGAGCAAAAAAAATGTTTGACTTTTTTTTGGTTTTACTACACTGAGAGAAGTAGTTTTGTTCGGGCACCAGAACTCAGAAGAGAGAGTTCTGTCCCTCATTCTCTGCAAAATCACTGTGTGCTACTGGCAAGTAACATTATACCGCACTTCTAGAAGAGCCAGACGCTGGTATGCACTCTGTAATAAACACAAATGCTGGCTATCCATCATTTTTGAACATCATGCCTCTAGAAGTCTGTTTACCTTACACAACTTTTGTTTTGTGAGCATGCAAAAACGTATTCGTTACGTTATCTGAATTTCTCTGTTCTCATAGAATTGGTGAATCCATGATTCACCAGTTATGCTGAATATTTAGGTCAGAGAAAAGTATAAAGACAACATGGTACGTAAAATTAAGGACATCCTATCAATTTTTCTGCAACATGTTTTTCTTCGGGGTACTTCTAATGAGTAAATCTTCTGATAGTGTTTATTGTTGGTTTTTTTTTTTTTTTTTTTTTCAGAATCAGTATAGTCGGATGTTAAGCAAATTGTTTCTTTTTTAATCCATGTAAATTCTCTGCACTCTTCAGAATCATTTTAGGATACGAGTTAGGAGAGAAACAAGCCTTGGTGAAAATGGAAGTAAAGAGAGCAGCAGTGGCAGCATCAAAAGGACAGGAAGACTCCACTTACATTATTGTAGGATTATGCAGTTGTAAAAGCATGAGCTAGTCTGTATTGAAATAAAGGAATTCCTAGCTAGGAGTCCCTGGTTAGGCATATGACAGATATCCATTTTTTCTGCATCAGGCAAAGAAGGGATCCATTATACAGTGAGCTATACTTGGGCTGAAGAAAAAAAGCTTTAAAAGATAGCAAGTGATGCCATACGTTTTCATTCTGGAGCATGCTATGCAAAGATCTGGGTAGTCAGCTCCCACCAACCATCTGGAGAGAGAAGTCACTCAGATTTAAGTGCTGAACCTGCTGTGGTAGACAATCGGTGCCAGTGAACCACTCACTCCTCTCCCCCTGTCTGTTTTCCTGCCTCTTTCTGCAATAGAGCCTTAAAATAAAATAATCTGGCTACCACTTCCCAAACACCCGCTTCCCAACAGCCCAGCTTCCATCTGCAGGGAGCACTCCAGCCCTTGGACATGGCAGGCCACTTCCAGGGACAGCACTATACCGAAGGTCTGACAAAACACAAGTGCCACAGAAAGGAAATACGCACAAAAAAAAATGCCTCTTCTTTACTAAGCTCCTCACGGCCTTGTGTTAAACCCTAATTTCTGTTTTATGTCTCCCTGATTCCTCCACAGTGCTTAATGTCTCTTTTGACTGCGGTTAAAAGCTTCCCGGGGGTGAGACCTTGGGAACCCGGCAAGCTCACCGGGGTTGCCTTACAAAAAGTGACTGTATGTGCCAGGAAAGGTTTAGCAGCTTTGAAATAAAAGGAACTTTCAACCATCTTGCCATAAATTGCTTTGTTGCCTGTAGTCAGCAAGAATCAGTCTGAAGACTTCTGGAGCCTGAGGGTATCAATTGCTTTGTTTTTTCCCTCTATCAAATCTATCCTCCAGTGACTTGTGTTACACTGCAAGCTGCTCTGGGATGCTCGGCAGATGCTAAATGGGGCACAAGAGACATATCAAGCCCCTTGGCATGTATATATTTTTAAATCAAATAGGCAGAGATGGGCAGAAGAATCTGTGATGGTGAATCAAATGTTCCTAGCTAGCTCTGTTGTATACAGTCATCCTGCCTCCCCGTAGGACTAGAAAGTAACTGAGTGACTAAAGTCTAAATAGCTTGGGATCAATTGCTGTAAGGCTTACTCATGTAAGTACCGGTTCCAGTGGGCTCACAGGGACGGCTCGCATTATAGCAGGTCATTTCATGGATGAAGACCTATGAAGAATATTTGTAGGTGGGGAATAATCTAATGAGAACAGATTAGAGATTATGTCAATTAGAGAAACAATTTGGTGCACATCAGCTGTGAAGAAAAAACAAGCAGGATGTGCAGTGCTGTTTCCATGTTCCAGCTCCTAAACAGTGAAAAGAATACTAAGCAATGTAATAACATTGGGATGCCCCATCTTTTTCCCAGTAATCAACAAGATAAAAACCTTGCCAAATAAGGGTGCTATGTCTTTTTCTCCTCTGAACATGTCTGCATGCATAAATTGTACAGAATTAATCTAAATTAGACAGGGAGACTAGTAACAGTCCTAAATATTACAACTTTTTCTAAAAAGCAATTAAGAAAAAAGACAAACAAAGGAAGATGAGCTTGCTTCACTGTAACAGTTGACTGGCTGCCTGAATACCTATCTAGAGGTAGAAGAAAAAAGCCTGTAGGAAAAAAAAAATCTCTGGTATAAATGAAACTTATTTGTGAAGAAGAAGCTGACCTAACTGAAGCAAATAATCAGCCACATGAATATATGTTGTTTTCTTCTGTAAACGATTATCTATGGAGAATATGCTATGGGCAAACTGAAGCATTCAAAAAAAAACCAACCAAACAACCAAAAAAAAAAAAAAAAAACCAACATAAAATGTCCAAAACAATATTTTTTTAAATTCGGATCCTGGCATCTCTGCTGCTGAAGTGTGAGAGCTGCTTAGCAAAGCACAGCAAAAGCGGGTGTAATGATTACAACACTAATGCAGCAGCTGGGAGAACTGTGTTCACTCTCCTTTGTCAACACAGATTTTCCATGTGAGCTCTGCCAACTGATTTAGCTTTCCTGGGTGTCAGATTCCTATCTAGCACGCTGAAAGAACAATACTCTCCTACATTACCAAGACAAGGATTAGGTAAATACATTATACATTTTGACTACAGGGACCACAGTGGTGAGAATCACGAAAGCCCCTGAAACAGGCAGGGTGTTTTACTTGCCTGAGAGCACGTACCAAAGGAATTGCAGGACAAGGTTATCAGAGTCCAGCACTCTGTGCTCTAATGCCACCAAGGAGAATGTGCTTGCTTTAAGACGTTTGAGAACTCCAATTTCACATATTGGAAGCTTTTCACAACTGGTTAATATATTTGGTTCTGGAGCTTCAAAGTCACAAGAAATACACGTATTTCACTGGCAGAAATAATGGCTTACTCAACTAGGGCTATGTAAATAAATGCAGGAACTAATCATCTGCCTAGAACTCCACTGAAGTCAGGGCGGCTTTAGGAAATAGCTACCCTAAGACCAGTTCTTGATAAATAAAGTCCTGCTTGGAACAACTTCATCCCTGTTGTTCCTCTTCCACTTCCATGGCTTCGTCATAGAAGGGAATCAGCTTGCCTTGTGCCCCAGCGGCACCTTCCTGCATGGCAGCAGTTAGGGAGGCAGACCCAGCTTGTTGCTGCTGCTGCTGGGTTTGGCTGGCTCTGTGGCTCAAAACCATGTGCAGCTCCTATTAATAAAACAGTGTGTGTGGTGGAACGATGCCAAATTGCTCTCATCTCTGCGTTTCCTAATTTCTCCTGTAGCCTTCACCCTCTGAACAGGCACAAAGATCCCCCTTGTCTGGTGGTGCTAGCTGTGGGAGGGG